CTTCAATAGTATAAAAATTTACAATAAATTGCCTCAGTACATCACGCAAGAGTCCTCTATCAACAAATTCAAGAACCTGCTAAAAACATTCTTAAGTCAAGTGGCCTACTACAGTGTTGATGGGATATATGTCTAGGCCATGTACATCCCTGAAGAGGAAATGAATCCATCTATATAAATTAATCTATATAAATCTATATTAATCTATATATCTATATTAATCTATATAAATTAATACCAAGAAATGTATAAAAACCTGACGACCACGTCGCTGATGCGATACCGGTAGGAATTCTCCAAGGATCCAAGTATTCAAGTAAGTAAGTAAACTAATTCTGTTTAAATAGGGAACAAATGTGATATTTTTAAGGAGACATTTTAGTGTATATCCAATCAGACAAATGGAAATTCGCTAAGTCTGCAGGTTTGCTGCGGCGAGGGTATTTTAATCATCTTCGCCAACAGCTTACAAACAAGGTTTCCACTTATTCACGACAATTCAATGATAGTAGTGTAAATTGTAAAGTAAATAATCACAACTGCAGTGGGTGATAATGGATGTTGCTGCGATCTAAGAGGATCTTTTTGATTTTGTTGTGTTCGTAACAGAGGTTTACGGATACTACTAAACTTGCTTTTGCAAAGAGACAATTTCGTTTTCTACTCACCGCTATGTGCTACAATCGCTGGACCGACCATAACGCCAATCCAATAAGCCCATCTCTTGGTTACGTTGGCCTACCCAATAATTCATAACCACATTTCGACAACGATTCTTGATACCGGTACTTTTCCCTAGAATACATGGCCTAAGCTACCTACATAGGAAATAAAATTACAAATGTCCAAAAACTCATTTTTATGCGATTTTTGTCACATTTCCTCCCAATGATTACTAACTATGCCAACCATTGTTTAGAGAATTTGTCATATTTTTATCTATTAAATAACAAACCGTTGTCCAGATAAAGGTTGTTTCTTTAAACTGTCACCGATATGTTTACATTAAAAGTTGTTTACAAATAATGCAATTAATCACGTTTGCCCGTGCCGCGTTGTGTGTGGAACTAGTTCCTGAATTTATGTTGATCGTCTGTCAATATGTCTGGTGTTTTATTTATTTAAATATTAGTGACTTTGTGTGTTTCTAAAACTCAACGATCTTGCAAGAGTGATAACAAGAGCCTAATGATGAAGATATAACCTTGAAACCGGTTGCTCAATACAACAAATTTAGGATCACAGATGGAAACAGGTAATCTTATACCATTTTAATATTCAAGAAGTGATCCTGGTCCAAAGAACATCAATATTAAAATATTTTATTCAAAAGTCTAATTCATTAACCACATGGTACCAAGAAACAAATCTTCTGATATTGTATCTAACCTAATACTTGCTTTATATTAAACCATGTTGTTTGTTTATATTCAACTAACAACATGTACGGGTTTGACTTACGGGAGGTATGAATGAGGCTTCGATGACATCATAGTTTAGTTCAAAATTCCTCCGTGGTGAACAGCACTGTAGTAGAGAGCACTTTGGCTATAATGAAGGTTTACTAATACAAAAAATAGTTCTGTTCATAAAATAAAATTAGAATTGGCTCAAATTCAATTTTATAATGTTTTAATTATAAAATTAAACTGTCATAACCGAACCAAACCAACCTGATAATGAAAAAATCTTAGACAAAAAGTTAGTGCTATCCGCGGGATTCGAACCTGGCACCTTCAGTTTACCAGCCCGGCACACTATCCATTAGACCACCGAGGCCAATGGCTACACACCGTATCGTTGCGGTAATGGTGTTCCCTCAGCTAATCAGAAGCCTTCAAATCGTCATCGTAGGCTCATCTATACCTCCTTGAGTAAACACCCTACATGTACAATTTTTTTTGTATCAGAATTTATTTTACAATCTGTTCATAAGACTATAAGAACAATAAGTAAAATACTAAAAAAAAATGGCTGGAAGCAAGCACCTGTTCTTCAACAAGTCTTACCAGAAATGTTGATCAATCATAGAAATCTGTAGCTCAGGTCCAACACATGACCAACACTTTTTATCTGGTTATACATTGACTATTGTCCAGAAGATTAAAAGCCAGACTGTTTGGATGATATTCTAATTTTTCTTGGTACTTTTTGCGATGGTCTGTAATTTCTTCTTTCATTGATTTAATTTTGAAATCATTCCTAATTGTAGTGTTAGATACGAACCAGGGTGCGCCAATAATTCTTCTCAAAGTCTTAGCCTGAAATTGTTCAAGAATTTCGATGTTGGATTTGCTCGAGGTCCTTCAAAGTTGAATACTGTATGTCCAAATAAATTGGTTTGATCATAACTTTATATAGTTTAAAATTTTGTTAGCCAATGATGATTCAGAATTTGTACCTAGTAGCCAATTGAGTTTTCAAATTTTTAATTCCATTTGCTGTCTGTTGCACCAGAAATGAGATTTCCAATTTAATTTTTTGTCAAGAGTTAGACCTAAATATTTTTTACTCTCTGCCTCCGGTAAAGCTACATTATTAATGGATACTGGAGGATTTTACTCTGTTCTCAGAGTAAAAACAATATATTTAGACTTGTTTTTGTTGACTTTTATCCTCCACTTTTTAAGCCAATGTTGGAGCTCATTCAAGGCAGCTTGCAGAGTAATGGAAGCGACTTGAAGGTCCACGTGACTTGACAGCAGTGCAGTGTTATCAGCGAATGTAGTGAATGTGTGTGACGTTGGGGACCATAGAGATGTCTGCCGTATATATCAAATATAGCAAGGGACCAAGGACACTCCCCTGAGATACTCCAGACTGTATCGGCCTCAGATCAGATAACGATTTTTCTAATTTTATTTGAAAAGATCGATTGGTCGGATATGATTTTAGAAGGTTATACAAAGTGTGAGGGTATGAGGTTATACAACCTTTTGAGTTTAAACAGAAATCCAACATGCCACACCTTGTCAAAAGCCTGTTGTACATCCAAAAATGCAGCAGAACAGTACTGCTTATTCTCAAATGTGTTTTTTATAATATACACTAATCTGTGAGTTTGATGAATGGTGGAATGTTGTTTGCGGAAGCCGAACTGATGATTGGGTATTAAGTTTAATTCATCTACAGTCGGGGTTAACCTGTTGAGTATTACCTTTTCAAGCAATTTTGATGCTATAGGAAGCAAGCTTATGGGTCTGTGAGAAGATGCTTCATTAGGTGGTTTGCCTGGTTTTGGGATAAAATACTGTATAACATGTACACATGACGCAAAATATCTTGACACTTAATTCCACTACTCTAGTAAGATTTACTAAACAGCTGGGTTAGTAGATTTTCTTCTTAAGAAATAGATTGGGATTTTGATGGCCTGTGGGGCAAAGCCCGAGGACTTTCATTACAGGAATTGGTGAAACGGGGCCGTCTACACAAAAAATACTTAATTTTGACACATAATTTGTAAAAATCCGTCCATTATTAACGGAGAAGTAGTAAATAAATATATCACGTTGTGATTAAGCATCTTTTTATTTAATTAAAAATAAGTAGATTTTATTTTATTGTATTTAAAAAATATTCATTTTATCTTAATAACTCAATTTGTAGTTTCATAAATATTTAAAACTTTGTATTACATTTGTTAGAATAGTTCTCATGAAATGGTTTCATTCATTCATTGTAGTTAGTTAAGTAAATCACTCATAGATAGGGTAAGCTGCCAGGTTGGGTACAATGGTCATGCTGGACGGTCTCAATGGTTGCTTCAGTGGTCAGAGAGTGGATAGAGACAGAATGTGACATGTGTTTTGTGCTTGGACTGAAGAGAAGATTTTTCACCATGTAGTTGTGAGTCAGACATTTACAGACATTAATTTCAAGGGTCATCAGCATCCCTTTCTCATTATTTATTAATTTTCTAAGGGTCAGCAGTATCCCTGCATATTTTCAACAAACTTTTATATTCAGTGTGCTGTACATAATTGTGCAATCCTGAACAAGCTCCAATACAGTACAGTAGTCACTAACTGAGGCTAATACAGCTACTCTTCAACTCATCTGTGGTCTAGTGGTCAGAGCATTGGATTTACAATCTCACGTTCCCGGGTTCCACCCTACCTGGTAGCAATATCTTTTTGCTCATTTAAAATTGTTTAAATATTATTTGTAACACTTTTATTTTCATTCAAGGGTTATTTAATTTTATTTGTAAGCATAATATTTATTTTCTTTAATACATTTCCTTTTGTCATAAATTGTGTTTTGTTATTTTTCACAGCAATCAAGTCTCAGGAATTAGCATAAAATTTCATAAGAGGTTAGAGTTAGGATTTTATTGTTTTAAAAGGCCTTAAATTTCCTCTTTGGCTTCAACACGTTGAGTAAGTCAACTTATTAGTTTTCCTTTCCTAAACAAACAGTTACAAATCAAGAACCAACTAACCTAAAAAAACTACTTAACAAAAGTATAAATATTTAAAATTTAAATATCAAATAGTTGAGTAAATACAAACAGTAAAAAAATTTGTATATTTGTTTACAAATTATACATTACATTAATAATAATCCTAACCTACGTTTATGCTGGATTTCAAATAAAAGGAGTAAAAAATCCAAAAAGCTATAGGTTGGCCACTTAGAAAACGACCTCCTCGTAGCATTGGTGCGAGAAAGATACCGAGCTGTGGGAGTGAGACAGACTATGGCTCTTCCCCCACTCCGCTGCCGCCCACCCTTCCTGAACACACGCCCCCTTAAATTGCAACTAAAATATTAACAGCAATTAAATTATACAGCTGATCAAAATGTAAACAAATACGCGGAGAGGGGGAACATACCCTCCCTCGTCGTTACCTCCCCTACATGTGCTAAAAATTTTGCGAAGGTCGCTTTCTAACCGGCCGACCTATAGTTTTGTATTTGGTCAGTAGACAAATTACGTATCTCTTACGGGTTAAAAAAATGATTAATTCAATTACAATTTGCAAACAAAGTCTTACCTTCCCAACGATGAAGATCTGTTTGGGCTTAAGGCCAATGGCTGTGTAGACACTGATGTCCTTACTGCTTCCATAAGCAACATGCACGATCACTCCATGATTCTGTAAGTGTATTCATAGAGTTTAGTTGCCTTGACAGTCAAACAATCAATTTGTTTACATTTAAACAATACAAGAATTGATTTTGTTTTAACTGAATATGTTAATGTATTGTACAGTTTGAAAACGCTGCCAGATAAATAAAAAATAAATCAACCTTTCAGTTTACAATTAAATTGCTGCATCTGGCTGCTCAAACCGCACCAGAAATATTAACCCTCCGAGTGTCATGCGTCGCTGCAGCGACACGTAACACACTTTGTGTGGTGTCATGCGTCGCTGCAGCGACTCACGAACACTGTTTACGGCGAAGGCTCTATGACTGACAAAATCGGATTGAACTGGATCGAGTTAGGTATCGTTCTTTTCGTTAGATTCTAAGCTTTCTCCAGAGGTCTGTCTCTAAGCGCTTTATGTTCTCCGAGCCGATCGTAATTGTAGCAGACAGCTGACGTGCGTATTTGTAAACAGGTTAGTTAACCTCGGACCGATGACTGATGTGTTTTATTATGTTTATCATTGTTTTAGTGTTAAAAATCAAAAGTAGTGATGGTGGTGCATTATAAGAAGATTTAAGTGATTTTGAAGGGCTGGTTGATGATCCTGAAGAAGTAGGTAGTGATATTGATGTAAATTATCAGCCAGATTCCTAGCTATGGTTAGGCTATGCATTCTTAGCTAAACACTACGTACTGAAATCTGTTTTTTGCCCATAACTTATTTATTTGCAAATCTACTTCCTTATATTATTATATATTTGTAATCCTCATAAAATTTAGAACAAAGTGGCTATTTTCAAATATTTATAGGCCTATAATTTATACAATTTCATTAAGCGCAAACTTATTTTTTTTTTTTTTATAATTTTTATTTTTACCTAAAAAATTTTTTTTGAAACAAATATTCCTTAGGTTTTATGTATGATATTGAAGCCCATGATTTTCCAAACAAAATGGTATATAGGACAGTAGAATTAACATTGTTTTAAGCTTTTCAGATCCGTTTCAATAAAACCTTGCAAATGCGCCAAAAATAGGCGGACATTAAGGCCTAAACTATGGACACTCGGAGGGTTAAAGTAAAATTCATTTCAAAGTGTCTAGTTGAAAAATTATTCACCTGTATCAGGTTTTTGAGGTATGTAGCTTTGTGGCCTAGAGGGTCTGTGGAGAGTCCATCAGCAAAAGAGACAAGGCCATGGGGGAAATTGTGTTGTGAAAGCCAGGCCAAAACTCTGGACTGCTGCATGTCTGGCCGTCCTGTGATGTAGATTATCATGTAGCCTAGCTCCTGCCAGTGTCTACAACATATTATACACATGTTTGTGTTGTGAAAGCCAGGCCAACACTCTGGACTGCTCTGCATGTCTGGCCGTCCTGTGATGTAGATTATCATGTAGCCTAGCTCCTGCCAGTGTCTACAACAGATTATACACATGTTTGTGTTGTGAAAGCCAGGCCAACACTCTGGACTGCTGCATGTCTGGCCGTCCTGTGATGTAGATTATCATGTAGCCTAGCTCCTGCCAGTGTCTACAACAGATTATACACATGTTTGTGTTGTGTTGTAAACTAGTTGTATTCATCCTATCTAATAGGAGGCGTCAAATTTTTAGGATAACATGTTTGGCAATGTTGTGTGAGTAGGCTGAAGGAGTTGCTAAACAATAATGTTTTATGCTGACCTACTAAAGAAGGCTTTGACTTAAAGTAAGTCGATGTACTTGATTTTGTTGTTGTTGTAATGTCTAACTTACATTTTCATCTTGCCTGCCTAATTTGTTATAACATATGGTTTATGATATATTTCTATATTGTTATGAGTTTGTTTATAGTTGACCTGTTTACATTCAGTTGTATGAAGAAAATCTGTACACCATTTAATGGCATTAGCTGCTGAAAGGGACCTATAGACCGAATGGATGCTGTCTCTGCATTTCCTCAAGAAGAACCCACAGAAGAAATATGCATGAATCATCCTAAACATGAAAAAGCCTCTTGTCAGTGGAACCAAAAACTACACTCATGTTTGATTAGAGTAGGAATGACTCAGTCAATCTTTGATTCCAGTGTTTATCACATGGTGAAAAATGGGAGGATGTTAATCGTTACAGCCTGGGAGGACAATTTAGTAGTTTTTCACAATAATAAACATTTACATTTCAAAGAAATCCTTAAAATACGACTAATAAAAGAATTCAAAATTAAAGATATAGGGACAGCAAAATTTATTCTGGGATTAAGAATAACCCGGGATAGGAAAAACAAGAAGATTTTCTTGATCATCAAGCATTAAACTGTTAAAAAGGAAGGAAGCTCTTAAGAAAAAGTTCAAAGAAAACAAGTGAAAATATTCTAAGGATAACACAAGACAAAGACAAGCTCATGAAATGTATCAAGGAGCAAGGAATATGCAAGTTTGGAGGATGTTTTAATGTCTTATTTACATATTCATCTTGCCTGCCTAATTTGTTATAACATATGGTTTATGATATATTTCTATATTGTTATGAGTTTGTTTATAGTTGACCTGTTTACATTCAGTTGTTGCATTCTATCTTATTCCCAATTAAATTAGTTTCATGTTAACTAACTGTCTAAATCATTTGATATAATCAGGGTAATTAACTGCTGCAGCTCAACTCTGCTATTTCTACAACATCAGATCTGGGGGTAGATTTTAAAATGAATGAAATATTAAAAAAGGAAAAAAAAGTTTATTTTAACAGGCCTGTTTATCTGTAACTTAACCTGTATATACAAAATTGCAACATGAACATATTTAAAATATATAATTAATATAAAATATGAAAAATTTACAAAAATGGAGAAAAACAAAAACATAATACTTAAGTTTAACAAACTCTATGAGAAATGAAAATTAAACACATTTAAAATTTTACATTATCACACACGCACACACACTCCTCTCTTGTCAGTTATCCCAAATTCGTACCTCCCTTGGACAAACCAACCTTATAATCAAATACCCCCGCCGCAGCAAACCTGCAGACTAAGCGAATTTCTATTTGACTGATTGGATTTACACTGAAATGTCTACTTAAAAATATAACATTTATTCTTGATTTAAATAGAATTAGTTAAACAAGTACTTAGGTTTGCTGCATCAGGGAGGGTAAAACTGTTTTTTTGTAAAAAGTGAATAGTTAGTAAGAAATAAAAACATTTTCCAAATTTTATCAAAATATGTTCACAAACAAGCAAACTACAACAGTTTACTTATTCTCCATAAGAATAACATGGGGATTTTAAATTTACAATTTTTTGGAATTTTCTCCGTAACCATTAGGCGCATAATAACGCTTCAATATACTAAATTATTTGTTTTTTTTAAGCTCTACAAAATGGTTTGGAAAGAAATTGCTAAATTTTATGTTTTTTGGGTCAAAAATGGGAAAAACCTATTTTTACCCCATAAAACCCCCCGTAAACCCCCATTCCCATGGTCTGATCATGCTGGATCGCGAACTCGTTCGAATAAATGTACGTTTACACGTTTGTACCAAATTTCATCAAAATCGGATCATTTTTGCTCGAGTTATCGTGCTGACGGACACATATATATATCTAATATATAAAATTCTCGTGTCACAGTGTTTGTCTGCAAACTCCTCCGGAACGACTTCACCGATCGTTATGAAATTTGGTGTGTAAATTCTGTAGGTATGCGAATCGGACATAAACTATTTCCCGTTTCGAAATTCTTAAAAGGGCTCCGCCCCAGTGGCTCTGGAGTTTCCCATGTTAACCTTATGAGAAATGGAATTAATGAATCTTAACAGCTGTTTCAATTAAACAAGTTGGTTCTGTTCTATGATGTTCAATAGCATTAAAGTTACAAGGATTACCAACAGGGTGCAGCACTTTTATTTCTTTTACATTTATGACAACAGCTAATTTGCAACCAAAAGGTGAGTGAGCGTAGCGAACGAACTTCAACCTGGAGGTGAGTGAGCGTAGCGAACGAGCTAACCTGAAGGCAAGTGAGCGCAGCGAACGAGCTCCAACCTAAAGGTGTATGAGCGTAGCAAACAAGCTCCAACCCAAAGGTGAGTGAGCGTAGCGAACGAACTTCAACCAGGACGTGATTGAGCGATGCGAACGAGATCATCTTGAAAATTAAACATAACGGTACTTTCTTTCCATCGGTCTGTCTTAGGGGAAACCTATAACTTAGGCGATACGAAGTTCGCCGGGTCAGCTAGTCAGGGTGTCTAGTTTATTTCCATTACAAAATTCAAGACTAATTCCAGACTTTTCAAGACTAACTCCAGATCTTTCAAGACTAGTTTTTTCAACAATTAGTGGATGTTGATACCAAAATGTATCGATTCTCAATTCTTGATACCGATACCAATTTTTATAGCTTAACCAAATTTTCTAAATAATACTACACCAACCCCTGTCTTTGTCATAAAGTAGTATTATGATAATGTCGTGTTTTCAAGTAAAGAAATAATGCAGCAATAAAAAATCCTAACTAGCAAATTTGGTTTTTTTTATCATGGAATCTTCCGCGTACCGTACGTTTAGACATCATCATTGACTGCAGCGGTTACAGAAACGTGATCGTCGTCGTCCGCGATCACGGAAAAATCATGAACATTTCCCGCGGCCTTTTAGACATCAATGACATCATCGCCGTCTCCCGCAGTCTCAGAAACGTCATCGTCCGCGATCGCGGCAAAATCATGAACATTTCCCGCGGCTGTTTAGACATCACCGTCATCTCCCGCGGTCACGGAAACGTTATCGTCGACGTCCGAGATCACGGCAAAATCTAGAACATTTCCCGCGGCCGTGTAGAAATCATCGTCGTCTCCCGCGGTCACGGAAACGTCATCGTCATCTCCCACGGGCACGGAAACGTCATCGTCGTCGTCTGCGATCGCGACAAAATCATTAACATTTCCCGTGGCCGAGCAGATATCATCGTCGTTTCCCGCGGTCACGGAAACGTCATCGTCGTCTCCCGCGATCGCGGCAAAATCATGAACATTTCCCGCGACTGTTTAGACATCACCGTCATCTCCCGCGGTCACGGAAACGTTATCGTCGTCGTCCACGATCACGGCAAAATCATGAACATTTCCCGCGGCCGAGCAGATATCATCGTCGTCTCCCGCGGTCACGGATACGTCATTGTCATCTCCCGCAGTCACGGAAACGTCATCGTCGTCGTCCGCGATCGCGACAAAATCATGAACATTTCCCGCGGCCGAGCAGATATCATCGTCGTCTCCCGCGGTCACGGAAACGTCATCGTCGTCTCCCGCGGTCACGGAAACGTCATCGTCGTCTCCCGCGGTCACGGAAACGTCATCGTCGTCGTCCGCGATCGTGACAAAATCATGAACATTTCCCGCGGCCGAGCAGATATCATCGTCGTCTCCCGCGGTCACGGAAACGTCATCGTCACCTCCCGCGGTCACGGAAACGCCATCATCGTCTCCCGCTGTCACGGAAACGTCATCGTCGTCTCCCGCGGTCACGGAAACGTCAACGTCATCTCCCGCAGTCACGGAAACGTCATCGTCGTCGTCCGCGATCGCGACAAAATCATGAACATTTCCCGCGGCCGAGCAGATATCATCGTCGTCTCCCGCTGTCACGGAAACGTCATCGTCATCTCCCGTGGTCACGGAAACGTCATCGTCGTTTCCCGCGGTCACGGTAACGTCATCGTCGTCTCCCGCGGTCACGGTAACGTCATCGTCGTCGTCCGCGATCGCGGCAAAATCATGAACATTTCCCGCGACTGTTTAGACATCACCGTCATCTCCCGCGGTCACGGAAAAGTTATCGTCGTCGTCCGCGATCACGGCAAAATCATGAAAATTTCTTGCGGCCGTGTAGACATCATCATTGACTCCCACGGTCACGGAAACGTAATCGTCGTCCTCCGCGATCGTGGAAAAATCATGAGTCTCCCCGCCCGTGTAAACATCAACGTCGTCTCCCGCGGTCACAGAAACGTCATCGTCGTCTCTCGTGGTCAAGGAAACGTTATCGTCGTCTCCCGCGGTCACGGTAACGTCATCGTCGTCTCCCGCTGTCACAGAAACGTCATTGTCGTCTCTCGTGGTTTCGGAAACGTCATCGTCGTCGTCCACTATCGCGGCAAAATCATGAAAATTCCCGACTTTGAAATCAAATTTACGACTAAATCCCGACTTTTCAAGACCATTTTTAAATTCAATACTAATTCCCGACTTTCCCGATTTTCCCGACTACTAGACACCCTGGCTAGTATATATATATAAAGATTAAACATTAATAAACTTAGTACCCAAGTAAAATTATTTATTAAAATATATATCTTATTTTGATTTTTGTTTACTTTGAAAATGGCCTTAGAGCCGAAACTATAGTAGTAAATATTTTAATAAATAATTTTCCTTGGGTACTAAGTTTATTAATGTTTAATCTTTATTTATATATAGTAGCCCTATTTTTCTATTTTTCATATATATATATATATATAAATATATAAATATATATATATATGAATTTGAACGGATGGTGTTTTTGGCCTCTAGGGACCTCAAAACGAAAAAAAAAATCGGTCCCGCGTCCAGGTCTTACCATGAGTACTACGGTAATGGCTTATTCCCTATATGGGAAATTCGCTAAAACTGATTTTTGAGTGTTGCTACAAACCGTGGCCTGCTATCAAGGGTTCTAATGGCAAGAGGGAGATCATTCCAAAGACGACTAGTAGTACCAAAAAACACTCTGTTGTATGCTGCGGTTTTATGAAGAGTTAATAATGCAGAGCGTGAATTAATATCATTCAGCTACAAACTTAGTCATTTACAAAATATTTTGGAAAGTTAATTTTTAATATTGAGTAAGAAAGTAAAAAGTAAAAGAGTTTTTATTGATGCAAGGTCACATAGCTTTAGAATCGACATAAAAAGATGTGATAAGGTGGTGGCTGCCAACAAATACAAGAAGTGTGTGTAATAATTACAGCATTATAAACTGGAGTTGAAAAAAATTGGGACCAATGTTTATCACAAAAGATTATACAGGGTGTCCCGTAAGTAAACAGCCAAACTCCTGGAAATTGTTCTATAAGTCAAAATAAAAGAAAATCAGGAATACATTTTTTTCCAAAATAGCCTGGTTAACCAGATATTTGGTTTTAGATATTAGCCATTTGGTTATCACATAAACATTTTTATCTTTGAATTTTTTTCAACCAATCATTATGAAACTTGGTATGTATTTTTAGGTAAAACAGGCCCAGGTCATAAAAAATATCTTAATTCAATTAAAAATTTCAAAATGGTGACAATTTCTTAAATCAAAATCAAAAATGATAAATGGCTAATATTATGAAAAAATGACTAGAACACTCTTATTTAGCATTTAAAATTTCCTATCAAATGACACCAAGCTTATAAAGATTGAATAAAAAATAACTGAAATATCACGATTATTAGTTGTAAAATTATCAAAGCTAATTATTAGCTCAAGGCTAAGCTATTCAGGTTCAGGTTGCCTCACCTGACTATGTCCACAGCACTAGCCCTCACTTTGGGGTCTCGGCCAGTGACTGAGACAGAGGCAGTGAATGATCCATCGATGCTGAACACTACACACTCTGTCTTGGGAGGGACCACAGCCAAAGAGAAGTCCACAGATGTGTGGTCACCCCTGCACAATGGTGACAACCACAGGTTGTATATGTAGCTTTACGTTAAAATCCATCAAACAAAAAGGTAGAGGGACCAGACATACATAACCACATACTTTGATGGTTCAATCAATGATATAACGTTTACATGTCCAGTAATCTTGTTTTTGTTACAGTGATTAAGTTTAAATCATCATGTTTGTTTAGGACTTATGTGGACTAATTTAGTTTAAAATGTGTCCAAGGTATTTGATATTCGATTGTTTAAAAAATACACTAGTCCCTATTCAAATGTAGATAATGCTTTTTAGTACTCAGTTAGTAGGTGACACCCTTAGAATGATTGGCACCCACCTGACAACCATTTTAACTGGGTACAATCCAAAGCTGAGTGCCTTGTCGTCTGGTATAGTGTAGGTGACTCGTCCAGTCTTGTCAGTCACTTCTGTGCTCAGATACGCCCACTCCCCACTGCCAGCGTCCCTCATAATGTGGATGTCCACCTTCTCACCTACAATTGAAAAGTCACAATTTAATTGCTAAATCATCCTCGTGGCTGCCATCCCGTTCTTTAATCTCGCTTTTATTGTGTCTCGTATTTATATCACCTGTCGTGCCTGTTGTTGCCTGTTGCCATGATCGCAGGAGACAGTTATCGGTGTCGCCAGGACTGCAAGGTGTTGCCCGTGATTGTGGGTGATTGTGGGAAACGATTATTTTAGTCGCCAAAACCACAAAATATGCTCACGAGTCTTAACGCGATAGCGGAAAACGATTATCAGTGTTACCTAAACTGCAAAATATGCTCACAGGTGTTTACGCGATAACAGGAAACAGTTATTGTTGTTGTCGAAACCGCAAAATATACTTACGGGTACTGCTGCGATCGCGGGAAACGAATATCGGTATCGTTAAAACCTCAAAATATGCTCACGGGTATTGCCGCGATCACGGGAGACGATAACTGGTGCTGCTTTACCTACCAGTAATACCATTTTATGATATTATTCTTTGGAAAAGTTTTGTTTCAAAGTTATACTACCTAGGCCACCAGGTTTTGAAAAAATAAATAACACAATTCCTAACTTACTATTTCTGAAACACATTTAAAAAATACATTAGTTAAATGCATTATGTAACTAAAATGATGATTTCTTTTTTTAAATCTTTTAAAAGTTTTTTATTTTTTATATAAAACGTGATCAAGCTTAAAGTTGGGTTCTGATAGCAGTTCTTAAAATTCAGGTATTTGTCTTGAATTCTCCTCGAAAACTCCTTGAATTTTTCAAACCAGATTTTGGTAGACATCCTGAAACACCAATACCAAATAAAGTGAAAAATTCAAGGAGTTTTCGAGGAGAATTCAAGACAAATACCTGAATTTTAAGAACTGCTATCAGAACCCAACTTTAACTTGATCACACCGTTTTATATAAAAAAGAAAAAACTTTTAAAAGATTTTTAAAAAGAAATCATCATTTTAGTCACATAATGCATTTAACTAATGTATTTTAAAAATGTACTTCAGAAATAGTAAGTTAGGAATTGTGTTATTTATTTTTTCAAAACCTGGTAGCTTAGGCAGTATAACTTTGAAACAAAACTTTTCAAAAAAATAATATTATAGAATAGTATTACTGGTAGGTAAAGCAGCACCAGTTATCGTCTCCCGCGATCGCGGCAACACCCGTGAGCATATTTTGCAGTTTCAGCGACACCGATAATCGTTTCGTATTAGTATTAATCGTTTAGTATTAGAAGCCGATAAGCCACTGCAAGGAACATCGATATATCAGAATGAGGCAAACTCATTGTGTCTTGACAGATAGATCAGTTCCACTTTAGTGCAGTATTACCAGATAGACGATAATTTTTTTACTTTTATAACTGTGTTAGTGGCGTACACCAAGTATAAGTATTTACTTTCCCTAATTAGCTACACATTTGATCTACACACTAATGAGTTTACAATAATGATTTAAATTAGTCAATTTATTATCTTTTGTTTGCCAATTAAAAACTGTAGTGTCTGGGGTACTCCTTCCATGAGCAACACATCATTGGTTTGGGGTTGACAACAGATAGTAGTGATAAGAGTGACTTACCTGCCAGTGTTATCATGTCCAGAGGTCCATACATGAACCTGGCCATCAGTGCCTGGGCTGCTCCTTCCTTGACTATCACATCATTGGCTCGGTGGTTGACAACAGAAAGTAGTGATAAGAGTGACTTACCTGCCATTGTAATCATGTACAGAGGACCATACATGAACCTGGCCATCAGTGTCTGGGCTGCTCCTTCCTTGACTATCACATCATTGACTCGATGGTTGACAACAGATAGTAGTGAGAAGAGTGACTTATCTGCCAGTGTTATCATGTCCAGAGGACCATACATGAACCCGGCCATCAGTGTCTGGGCTGCTCCTTCCTTGACTATCACATCATTGACTCGATGGTTGACAACAGATAGTAGTGAGAAGAGTGACTTATCTGCCAGTGTTATCATGTCCAGAGGTCCATACATGAACCCGGCCATCAGTGCATCAGTGTCTGGGCTGCTCCTTCCTTGACTATCACATCATTGGCTCGGTGGTTGACAACAGATAGTAGTGAGAAGAGTGACTTATCTGCCAGTGTTATCATGTCCAGAGGACCATACATGAACCTGGCCATCAGTGTCTGGGCTGCTCCTTCCTTGACTATCACATCATTGGCTCGGTGGTTGACAACAGATAGTAGTGAGAAGAGTGACTTACCTGCCAGTGTTATCATGTCCAGAGGTCCATACATGAACCTGGCCATCAGTGTCTGGGCTGCTCCTTCCATGAGCAACACATCATTGGCTCGATGGTTGACAACAGATAGTAGTGAGAAGAGTGACTTATCTGCCAGTGTTATCATGTCCAGAGGACCATACATGAACCTGGCCATCAGTGTCTGGGCTGCTCCTTCCATGAGCAACACATCATTGACTCGATGGTTGACAACAGATAGTAGTGAGAAGAGTGACTTATCTGCCAGTGTTATCATGTCCAGAGGTCCATACATGAACCTGGCCATCAGTGTCTGGGCTGCTCCTTCCATGAGCAACACATCATTGACTCGATGGTTGACAACAGATAGTAGTGAGAAGAGTGACTTATCTGCCAGTGTTATCATGTCCAGAGGACCATACATGAACCTGGCCATCAGTGTCTGGGCTGCTCCTTCCTTGACTATCACATCATTGACTCGATGGTTGACAACAGATAGTAGTGAGAAGAGTGACTTATCTGCCAGTGTTATCATGTCCAGAGGACCATACATGAACCTGGCCATCAGTGTCTGGGCTGCTCCTTCCTTGACTATCACATCATTGACTCGATGGTTGACAACAGATAGTAGTGAGAAGAGTGACTTATCTGCCAGTGTTATCATGTCCAGAGGACCATACATGAACCTGGCCATCAGTGTCTGGGCTGCTCCTTCCTTGACTATCACATCATTGACTCGATGGTTGACAACAGATAGTAGTGAGAAGAGTGACTTATCTGCCAGTGTTATCATGTCCAGAGGACCATACATGAACCTGGCCATCAGTGTCTGGGCTGCTCCTTCCTTGACTATCACATCATTGACTCGATGGTTGACAACAGATAGTAGTGAGAAGAGTGACTTATCTGCCAGTGTTATCATGTCCAGAGGACCATACATGAACCTGGCCATCAGTGTCTGGGCTGCTCCTTCCTTGACTATCACATCATTGACTCGATGGTTGACAACAGATAGTAGTGAGAAGAGTGACTTATCTGCCAGTGTTATCATGTCCAGAGGACCATACATGAACCTGGCCATCAGTGTCTGGGCTGCTCCTTCCTTGACTATCACATCATTGGCTCGGTGGTTGACAACAGATAGTAGTGAGAAGAGTGACTTACCTGCCAGTGTTATCATGTCCAGAGGTCCATACATGAACCTGGCCATCAGTGTCTGGGCTGCTCCTTCCTTGACTATCACATCATTGACTCGGTGGTTGACAACAGATAGTAGTGAGAAGAATAACTTACCTGCCAGTGTTATCATGTCTAGAGGTCCATACATGAACCTGGCCATCAGTGTCTGGGCTGCTCCTTCCTTGACTATCACATCATTGGCTCGGTGGTTGGCGTTCACATTCTGTAATTGCAAATATATTTACTTTTTTATATTACAATCAAACAAGTTTTGGAAATTAATATTTGATCATAATATTTTAATAGGAATTTCAGATAAAAATTATAAATTCTTATATTATTAACTTAAAACACTCATTTTGACTGTGTGTAAAGGAGCTACTACTAGCCAATTTAGTTGCAGAATTACTATAATAAAAAAAAAACAACTTTATTTCTATATTTTTACATCGTAAATATCAAACTAACCTTTAATTTCACTGATGTCCTTTTCCTAATCCATTTTTCTCTTGGTTGTCCTGGATTAAAGTTTGACTGGTCTTTTTCGTCTTGTGTTAAATTGGGTGTGAACTCAAACCTGCAGATCTACAAGAAGAAAAAAAACATTGTCAATTCAGCCCTATGAACAAATTTATAAAATAGTGAAAAACACTCGCAAAGTATTTTGTAAGATAAAGTTAACTGTTACCTTTCTGAACAGCCCAGAATGAAACACATCTAAGATTTTTTAAGAGAAAATTTGGTTTATGTACATTTTCTCACACATAAGTAAAGTATTAATAGCTAATCAAGAATACTCCTGCCACAACATACCCTGCAGACTTCGCCAAATTTCATTTGTTCAATTGTATTTTTACAAAAGTATTTCCTTAAATACAAGCATATTTAAAAAAACATTATGTTTAACGATTACTTAGGTTTGCTGCTTTAGGGAAAGTTTTTGTTTATAATTAGTAATAGTAGGCCTATAGTGGATGTACAAGATAAATAAATTTGGCAAATTTCATCAAAATATAAAATATCCATAAACAAGCAAACTACAACAGTTTAATAGATCTCCATAAGAATAACAATAGTTGTATTAAAAATAATGTTTGAGTGGGGTTTATTGTATGTAACTTTAAGAATCCTTGTGAAATTCCTTATTTGAATATTAAACATTATGAACATAAACAAACTAATGTGGATAAGTTTTGTGAAACAATTTTAAATTAGTGTTTATTTGTTCATTTTTGTTAGGAAAAATGACATATCATTTACAGTGTTAGCTAAATGGTACATTCCACTTGAGAATTAAAGTGAATTTGCCAATGCCAATTTTTTCTCTCCTATTAACCTAGCAAATTCAAATATATATTACGTGTGTGTCCGTTAGCACGATAACTCGGGTAAATAACCTCGCCGCAGCATACCTGCAAGCTAAGTGAATTTCACCATGTCTGATTTTTAACTAAAATATTTTCATAAACAAGTTTTTTTTAAAATCAAAGTCAATTTAATATAGATAATTACAAGACAACTAAATCTAAATTTACAGATATTACTAAACATTTTGATTCTTTCAATGAATATGTTGGATGCCTGCTCCATCTTCGAATTCTCGAGCATATCTCCATTTTGTTTTAGATCTTCTCAGGCACATACTTGTTGCCCTTAAAATTGAGCAAGTCAGTCTCGTTCTGATCCAATTAATTACCAGGCTGTAAGGCTTAACCCATTTTTCTGACAATCTCTCAGCTAGTGCTCTTATTAGTGTTTGAAAATCTTTGCCTAGGATTCCGCAGACTGATGTTATCATCTCACAGGCTGAAATATACTTTCTTTTCTTTTCTTCTTCTGCATTTTGTATGACATTGTCATGAGGTTTGGAAGCATATGAGGGAGCATCGGTGTCTACGACACGGATATCAAATAATGCTTCCCTCTATGTCTCCCATACCCCTCTACATGCCAAGTCAGCTTTAATTGCAGGCCCGTTTGCATTTCTATTCTCTGCTATAAGGGGATCTTTGATACAATTCCCCCATGCCTGTTCCATAATGTTTCCTAAAGCATCTCTAATTTCATTGTGTCGTTTGATAATTAGGCCACCTACAGGACATGTAAGGGCATGGTCTGTATTAAATTCTTTCCCACAGCCATCACATTTTGTTGGTAAATGGATCGGTGTCCGACCATATCTGAGTGCCAGGGAATCCCTAAATTCTTGGGGTGACATGTCTAAATTATTTTTCTTCAATGGTACACAGGATAACCAGCTGCCATGTTTTGATTTAGGGTCAGCATTTCGTAAGATTACATTTTGCTTTTGTAGTGAAAAATATTTTAAATTTTCATTTAATAATTTGTTTTCTTCAGTTTTCTTTTGTTCTCTATGGAACTTTAATGCTTTTTTTAAAGCATCTTCATGCTCACTGAACTCAAAAGAGGTTTTTAATGCAAGAGATTGTAAGAGAACTTCACACCCTCTTTTTGACGTTTCATATATGTGTTTAGATTGTACTATTGGATCAGCCATCCCTATTCCTCCACTTTTTACTGTTAGATGAAGTAATTCATGCTCTTCTTTACACATGCCTTCTTGTAATCCAAACAGATTGGGGAAAAGTGATGTTCTAATAGTGTGCTGAATTGGACTGAACATTTCTGGTTCAACTTTTACTACTCTCTGGAAAAAAGTCCATTCTGCTTGTAATGATTTTGTAGCAACAGTATGGGCCGATTGAGGGTGTTTTTTAGCAATCTCAGCAATATTTTCAACACGCTGGGTCCAAGCATTGATCTTTTCTGTTGCAAACTTTTTCTTTTCTTCCTCACAGCCAATAAAGCCTCCTAAAAACTTGCTGCCATGAACAACTTCGATTCCCTCCATTTGTTTCATTACTTTTTGGGGAATTTCAAAATCATGGTTCCAAATTAGTTTGGTTTTTTTGCTTGAGGGTAGTATCCATATTTTGGACCAATTTATTAAAGTTTTTGCTACCATTGTATCACATTATTAAGGGATCCTTGACAAGATGAATCATCTGCATACCAGGTCTGGAAAACATCTGGCATTTTTTAAATTCCTGAATTAGTGGAAGAGTTGCTAATCCATACAAAATCATTGATAAAGGGTCACCTTGGGTGACACCTTCTTTGCTGAACAGTCTTTTACTAGTTCCAGGGAATATCAAGTCTACGTTGCATTGATAAGTGTTGTAAATAAATCTGGCAGCTCTAGGCCAATGTAACCTTACTTGCCACAATGCATTTACTCTGTTAATTTTATTGAAGGAGTTATCAGCATCAACTAATATAATGCACCATTCATTTGTATTGTCAAAGTTCTCATCCATAACAGTTTGCATAAAATGTATTGCTCCCTCTATGCCTGATTTTAGGCCTCCACATAGTTGATTAGTACCTAAAGCATGTTTTGCATCATCACCAAATGCTACTATCATGCATTTATATGGTCCGTCTTAGGCATTCTCCAATTCCAATTGGTCTCACTCCGGGACATTTGTCGATGGCTATCAATCTATTTGCCATTAAGGCTCTTATTTTATGCCAAGGTATTATTTCTCCATTTAATTTCGTGGCTAAAGAGGCTATTGAAGAGCTAAGAAGCGCACTTTTCTTTCCATGTCTTAACAAGAAATCCGTCCAATTTTCTGAGGAGCTTCCTCCTGGGCCACCACTTCCATGAAGTTGTCTTGCTACCTTCTCAACATGCTCTGCTGTTATTTCTGTGTTTTCTAGTTTGGGAACTTCACTCATGGTTTCAGGTAGTTTTATTAAATCTTTGTTTGGAATTATTGGGTCTGGATGTTTTTCTTTTAATATAATCATAAACTGCAGTGTTGGTGTCACTGATATAATCATTAGGATTAAGGATTCCTCCTACCATATTTTGGTTTACTGCTCTTGATGCATCTTTTATTTTTCCACATTGAACAAGTCTGTTGAAATAAGTTTCTGTAAACTGTTTTTGTTCATTTGTATCAAGTTTTTCACACTTGTTCTTTAAAGATCTATCGCATCGGATTGCCTCATTTATAAGGTCATCATACCTCTCCTCCTTCCACTCATTAATTCTTCTATCAATTAGTCTTCTGATGTCTTTTGTTTGTTTTATCATTTTTTCTCTCTGCAAATTAACAGCAATGAAACATATTACTCTTTCAGAGGTTTCTTTTCCAGTTGCCAGCAATGATATTTCTTCCGCTAGTAATTGTACAAATTTGTCTCCAATGGATCCTTTTGGCAAATTATATTGCAATCTTTTAAGAGTAACGATCTTACCCAATGAGGCAACCATCTAGATGGTACTTGATCCTCAGAGGTTTGTATTGGATTTACTTCGAAATATTTTGAGAGATAATCAGGAGATCTGCATTCGGTGTGTTTGGGTGGATTAAGAGTTGTCAATGAATCATTAATTTTTTTAGAATGATCTTTGTTCAAGTGATTGAGGAATCTTGCATGACTTTTGAAAATAATCTCACATTCAGTACATTTGTTTTGATTAGTTTTTGAATCTATAACACTATAATTGCTGTCTGTATCTATTTCCCAAGTTTTAGATTTTGGAATAAGTAGGTCAAAATGTCCAGACACAGGATTGCCAGATAATAATAAATTTATTATTTTATTGTTATCACCAGAAGAGATTTTTATTGGAGGCTTCCTCATAGCTATCGTTCTTGTCATTATTCTTGGTTCTGTAGATTGAAGGTATATATGAAAATTAAATTGGTATATTTGGGATAGAGCAAGGCATTCAAGGGACGTGCCGTATGTTCCATCATTCCTCATTAGTTGAATATATTTATCTTTCTCTAAAGCTTTGCTTTCATCAACTACAAATGTTTTTACTTCTTCCCAATGTTTATTTAAATACTGAACTGCTTGAGTTTGTAATTAGAATGGCTATTTTGATTGTTAAATAAGTGTTGACTTACAGTACGAAATAAGCAGTTTCCACCCTTCTCTGTTCTTATAACTGAAAAATATTCTTCTGCTGTCCCCATTCAAAGGTTCTTGATTGAGGTTAAGGCCAATGGTATTGATCCTCTTCTGTTATTTTTTACTTTTAATGATAAAGTTGATCACTTGGATGAAATTTAGAATGCATTATTTTGTTAAAGATTTGATAAAAACTATTATAAATAACACTTATTTAAGTATTTTAGTAAAAATTAAGTGGAAGGAATATTTTTGCTTGTGTTTATAAAATTTGAGTCAGCTGTCATCTGACATCTCATAAACAAGTCATTTTTATTCCCCATTTAAATAACATTAGATTTAACGAGTACTTCGATTTTCCGCTAGGGGGAAAAGGAACTTTTTTTTATGTTAATGGTAGGAAGTATGCAAAATTTGCGCATTATTACAGAAATTTGCCAACATTCGTGATCATCTCCACTCTAGAGATTATCTCAACACCCGTGAAAATATTTTGCGTGGCGAAATTCGTGATAATTTCCCGCGATCTTTCGCCCGACCCGTGGTCATTTCTTTGAGATCAGGGTAACATCTTTTACTCGTAAAAGTTTCCCACAATCATGATTTTCGGCTACGCAAAATGAGAAAAATCCCTG